AATTGAATTGAATTGAATTGAATTGATTTAGGTGTTTGAGCAGAACTGTGAACAGTAGTGTCCTTACTTCAGTTTGTCCTCGTTGAGACGCTCGACGTTGAGAGGTTTCTTCCTCTCCGCCAGGATCTTTCTTTTCTTCTCTCTCTCCGTCTGCTTCTTCGCTCCCCGCTTTCCGTCTTGCTGGATGTGAGATTTAATGAACGTGTAAAATAAGGAAGAGACCGCATTTACATAATAAACAGGCAAACTGTGAAGCTGATCATATTTCCTATTGCTTTGAATGCAAATGTGTGCGCGCGTGTGATCACTCACCCTCTGCTGGAAGCCAGAGTACTGCTGAGTCATGTTTGTGAGAGCCTTCTTCTTCTTGGCGTCCTCGTCCTGCTTCCTGCGGGCCTCTTCCTGTTCCTTCCTCTCCTTTTCTTCCTGTGACACGGATTAAAGAACAGAAAAGAAAAAATGAAACCATCTGTCCACTTGTCTTTCCAGCCACTAAAACAGGACTGAAAATAGCATCCTCCAAACGTTCTGACATCCTCTGATGTCACAAAAAAGAATGTAGCGTCCATTGTCATTCATTCTCAAAAAGTTCAGAATATTGTTTTTATGTGAGCAAGGCTATTCTATTGTGCAATCAAGGTTAGTTTGCACATAAGATTAACTTCTATGTGCAAAATACATAAATAATATTTTTACTGCCACTTGGGGGCAGCAGAAACAAACTGTGAATCCATCACTGACATAGTCTCATGTTTTAAGATAAGTTAGAGCACTTTTTAAAATTAATTTGCCTACTTAAATTTCAAGCATTCACTTGGAGATGTGTTTGTAACCATAGCAAGTTTAACACTAGTCTAATACTTCTGTACAATTCTGGCTCCTCTTAAGAGAAATATTTGGCTCTACACTTGCTAACAACGCCTTTCTCCTGTGGCTAAAAATGAGGCTTTATAAAGAATCAGTGAGTCAAATATCATCATTTGACCCATTGTTATTATTAAAAATGTTGAGGGCAGGTTTAAAGTAAAAAAAGAAATTGTAAAATGGAAAGCAAATATCCGAGTGCAAAGACTTTGTGTTTATCCCAGTTTATGGAATCTGATTCAAACGTAAATTTTCACTAGCCATTAAAAAGCCAGTGCGTAAAATTACATGAAAACAGAGGACAAACAGATCTAGGATGGTTCTTTTTTTTGTTGTTAATTAGGCTTTTGCAGACTGTACTCTAATTCTGTTCAGGAACGTGGGTAAAACCACAGCGTGTCAGCTCCTGGGGGCAGGACACTCTTCGTTTATTGCAAACATTGTCTCATTCTGAAAAAAGGCCGAGGCAACTGCATCTTGAAACTCACAGCAAGCCGATTCTGCCTCTCCTTCTCATGCTCGGTTCTGATCCTCTGTTGCTCAGCTCTCTCAGCACGACGCTTCTCCTAATCATCCGTGCCCACACGCAAACACAACCGCACACACGCACACATAAACAGAGTGTAATTGTTTGCAGGGTGGTGCATCGCTGTAGCGATCTGGCACGCTTTCCTGGAATACTTACAATCCTGTTAACGAGAGCGATGAGCTCCTCCTCGTCCTTCTTTCTCTGAATGAAGTGGGCCTCGATCAGAGATTGCAGCTCAGTCAGATCCTTCTCCTGACGCTTCCTGTGGATATCCTGCAGTCACGTATAGATGTTTTTAGTTCTCTACTGAGCACGACTCGTATGCATATCATCTCCAGCCCTGGCTTCACGCTAAGATCTACATTTTGGCAAGAAAAACAGGCAGACACCCACTAGTACAGTCCTCAAACATGCAGCACACATGAAACTTGATGATTATATACACTAACTGATCCCTTTATTACTGCATGTTAATACAAATCTCTAATCACCCAATAACTTAGCACATGGCAGCAACTCTGTGGTTTCAGGCATACAGGCATGATCGAGAAATTCAAAGTTAGTGTCAAGTAAGGTGTTTAAAGTGACTTTGGATGTGGCATGGTTGTTATAGTATTTTGGAAATCTGCTGAGATATTCCCACACAAACATCTCTAAGGTTTAGAGAAAATGCTCGGAAAATAGAAAACATCCAGTGAGCAGCGATTCTTTGGGTGAAAATGCCAAAGGTCAGAGGAGAATGGACACGATCCTTCCTTCGGGAACTCAAATAATCCCTTGTTACAATAAAGGTATGCAAAAAAAGCATCTGTGAACACACAACAAATTTAACCTTGAAGGAAATGACAGCAATACAGCAGCAGAAGACCACACCTGGCGTCAGTTAAGAACAGGAACCAGGCTATCATTCACAGAAGTTGAAGAATAGAAGATTGGAATAAGGTTGCCTGGTCTGATGAGTCTTGATTTCTGCTGTAATGCTCAAATGGTCGAGTCTGAAATTGTTGCATAGGCAGTGTTGGGAAGGTTACTTTTAAAATGTATTCCATTACAGAATACAGAATACATGCCCCAAAATGTATT